AAACCCAACCCCAGCCATAAATAAATAAATAAAGCAAACGGTCAACAAGTAAAAATAAACACAATTATTAAAAAAAAAAAAAAATGTATTAAAAAAACTTTTATCAAATAAAAAACCCCCAATGTATACAGTAGTCTCCCTTATCCATGAGGGATATATTCCAAGACCCTCAGTGGATATCTGAAATCGTGGATAAGACTGAATATCATTTCCTATTCATACATACCTATGATAAAGTTTACTTTAAAAATTAGGCACAGTAAGAGATTAGCAGCAATAACTAATAATAAAATAAAAACAGAACAGTTATAGCAATATTGTAATAAGTTATATGAATGTGGTAACTTTCTCTCAAAATATCTTACAAATTTAATGTCTTTTCAGTCTTAACTAAGCACTTATCATACGCTGCGGCTGTAACTTTTGCAGTTTGAGGTGTGACAGCAGAACACGAATTTCTTATTCCTTCGTTATAATTTCATGGATAGAAGATTCGTTCTTACTGCAGATCTTAGTAACTGCAGCATATGATTTTTGTTCTTTCCTTACTAAGTTGAGAACTTTCGCCTTTTCACTGCAAGGAAACACTGTGCGGCTTCTTTTTGGCACACCCAAACTGCCAGCATCACTACTCTTGCACTTTGGAGTCATTATCAAGTAAAATAAGGGTGACTTGAACACAAGCACTGTGATACCTTGAAAGTCCATCTGATAACCACGGTGGCTACTAAGAGATTAATGGGTGGGATATACTAGACAAAAGGATAATTCACTTTGTGGGTGGGGTGGAGCGGGACTGTGAGAGACTTCATCACACTACTCAGAATGGTGTGTGATGAATTATTTCTGGAATTTCCATTTGTGGGTAACTGATACGGAGTAAAGCAAAACCAAGATAAAGGGGGGACTACTGTACAACCCATAAAACTTTTGTATTTAGGATATACAAAACCTCCCACATATCAGTAACAAAAAGATGGAAAATCAAGTAAAATAAAAGGGCAAAACTTGAACACTCAATTCACAGGAAATGACCAAGAAACAAAGGAAAAGGTACAGTCTTAGAAATATAGCACCCTATCCTCTAGATTGGTTAAAACTAAAATGACTAAGTATGAATTGTTGAGGATATGGAGTAAAAACCTCTCAAACACTGCTGGGTACAATGTAAAGTGGCATAACCACTTTGGAAGACAGTCTAACATTATCTATTGAAGTTGAAGATATGCATACTCTATAACCCAACAATTTCATTCCTAGTCATATACCCAGTAGATATGTGTGTACATGTGCAGCAAGAGACATGTATGAGAATTTTCATAGGGGCACTGCTTAGAATAGCTCAAAACTGGAAACAGCCCAGATTTTGATCAACAGAATAAACCAGTTTACTTATACATGTACAGAAATAAAAATGAATGAAATACAACTACACACATACATACATATGAATCTCACAAACATACTACTGAATAAAGGAAGAATTCTGTTCACATAAAAGAGCAAAAGAATTCACATAAAATTCAAACACAGGCAAAAGAAAACTTGAATTACCAAAAAAATTTTTTTCTTAAAGGCATGGAAATTATCAAACCAAACTTGGCACAGTGATTATTTCTTCAACAAGGGAAAATGTTATTATCTAGGAGGGATACACAGGGGCCTTCTAGGTTACCGGTAATGTTTTATTTCTTGACTTGGAAGAGAGTTACATAGGTGTTCACTATATAATTATTTGTTAAGCTGTACATATTTGTTCTAAGTACTTTTGCATAGGTACATTACATTTCATAATATAAAATTAAAATTTTAAAACAATAAAAAGGTTAGAAAAAGATCAGTGAGTCTTTGGGGTAAGATGTAAAGTGTAATAAGACAATGTGCTGCCAAGTCAGCCTGGCTAAAAAGCAAGACCTAATGCTGACTGCTGGCTATCAAATAATGTACTCTGTACATAAACGGTTTTATATTCACTTAACAAGCAATTATACTGGGCACTTGCTGTGTGCCAGGCATTATTCCAGTGACTGGGAACACCCCAATGAGCAAACAGTACTTACATATAAGTGTTAGGGAGAAAGACAATAAACAAAACATGGTAAAGGAAATGCTGAGGGTGATGCTACTTTTTATACGGTAATTAGGAGTATCCTCAGTGATAGCTGACAACTGAACAGAGAGAGACTTAAAGGAATCAAGGAACTAATCCATGCAGGTATCTGGGGAACAGCCTGCCAGAAAGATGGGAACAGCCAAAGGCCTTAAGGCAGGACCGTGCTTGATGTATTCAAGAGACACAAAGAGGTCAGGAGGCTGGAATGGAATAACTGAGAGGAACACGCAGGAGATGAAGCAGGCTTGGGGTGGTGGTGGTGAGGAGGCAGGATCATGTAGGGCACTGCAGAACTTTCTAAAGACTGTCTCTTCCTGAGTGAGATGAGAAGCCATTTGAAACCAGCAAAATGAGGGGATGTGATTTATGTTTTAAAACCATCATTGTGGGCTTCCCTGGTGGCGCAGTGGTTGAGAGTCCGCCTGTCGATGCAGGGGACACGGGTCCGTGCCCCGGTCCGGGAGGATCCCACATGCTGCAGAGCGGCTGGGTCCGTGAGCCATGGCCGCTGAGCCTACGCGTCCGGAGCCTGTGCTCCGCAACGGGAGAGGCCACAACAGTGAGAGGCCCGCATAACGCAAAAAAAAAAAAAAAAAAAAGAAGAAGAAAAAGGTTAAGATAGTAGGTTTTAAGAGTATTTTAGCACAGCTTTTTTAAAAAAGTGCTCATTATAAATTGGAGGACAGCAGAGGGTATAAGTTCTACTTTAAAACAAACCCTTTTTTTTTTTTTTTCTGGTATGCATGGGCCTCTCACTGTCGTAGCCTCTCCCGTTGCGGAGCACAGGCTCCGGACGTGAAGGCTCAGTGGCCATGGCTCACGGGCCCAGCTGCTCCGCGGCACGTGGGATCTTCCTGGACCGGGGCACGAACCCGTGTCCCCTGCATCAGCAGGCGGATTCTCAACCACTGTGCCACCAGGGAAGCCCTATCTTAACCATTTTTAAGTGTAGGGTTCAATACTATTAAGTATATCACATTGTCTTGTACAGTGAGTAGTTTTATTTATTTATTTATTTCAAATGTATCAATTTTATCATGTATGGTTTATTTTTTTAATTTTTAAAATTTATTTATTTATTTTTGGCTGTCTTGGGTCTTCGTTGCTGTGCACGGGCTTTCTCTAGTTGCTGTGAGCGGGGGCTACTCTTTGTTGTGGTGTGCAGGCTTCTCATTGTGCTGGCTTCTCTTGCTGTGGAGCAACGGGCTCTAGGCGCGCAGGCTTCAGTAGTCGTGGCCCGCGGGCTCTAGAGCTCATGCTTAGTAGTTGTGGTGCACGGGCTTAGTTGCTCCACGGCATGTGGGATCTTCCCGGGCCAGGGCTCAAACCTGTGTCCCTTGCATTGGCAGGCAGATTCTTAACCACTGTGTCACCAGGGAAGCCCTGACTAGTTTTAAAGGCTTAAAAAAAAAAATTCAGACTGGTGTTGGTGTTTCTAGATGAATTCTACTACAACTCTACTATTAAGTTACTACTCAAGTAGTGTACTCTAAATTTTTCCTACGCCCACTACATGATGGGAGGATTTACATGCTTTGCTAATAAATATGCATGAAACAGATAGTTAGTGGGAAGCATGAAACAGTTAGTGGGAAGCAGCAGCATAGCACAGGGAGATCAGCTCCGTGCTTTGCGACAGCCTAGAGGGGTGGGATAGGGAGAGTGGGAGGGAGGCTCAAGAGGGAGGGGATATGGGGATATATGTATGCGTATGGCTGATTCACTGTGTTGTACAACAGAAACACACACAGTATTGTGAAGCAATTATACTCCAATAAAGATGTACTAAAAAAATAAATGATAATTGCCCTCAAAAAAATTAAAAAATAAACCTGCATGAATAATTTAAGTATCAAAAAATTATTTGGGGCCTCCCTGGTGGCGCGGTGGTTGGAAGTCCGCCTGCCGATGCAGGGGATACGGGTTCGTGCCCCGGTCGGGGAGGATCCCACGTGCCGCGGAGTGGCTGGTCCCGTGAGCCAAGGCCGCTGAGCTTGCGCGTCCGGCAACGGGAGAGGCCACGACAGTGAGAGGCCCACATATCGCAAAAAAAAAAAAAAAAAAAAGAAAAAGAAAAGAAAAAATTATTTGATGAAATTTATCATCTGGTGGCTGGTTACCATGAAAACAGTGAATATAAATTTATATGACTAGGTTCTAAAGGACCATACAGATTTTTAAGGACCAAGATAACTCCTTAAACCCCATTCTCTCGCAAGGGAAATCATTGCATCAGATCAAACCATCCATATGAGTAAAATATAACTCAAATACAGTAGATCATTAAAAGAAAAAAACATGAATATACTATAGTACCTAATTTTGAGGTGTCAGTATTTCTATTATTTAAATACATGATGAATAAAAGACCTACATACAATTTGGTCTCTAATTTGACAATATTAACGTGTGCTTTTGGAAAATCATCACACATTTTAAAATGCTGCTATTGCACATTACTTGGCAGTTTAAGTAAATGTGATTTTTTTTTTTTACCTCTGTGAAGAGACGAGCGTCATCAGAAAGCATATTATAATCCTGTGCACATTTCTTTGCAGAATTCTGCAAAAATTTTAGGAATTCTGCAACTTCTTCACTCACATGTTTTTTCATATCCTGATTTTGAAAAAAAGTAGACATACCTTAGAATAAGAAGCTTGGTTAAAAACAATCACTTCTCAATTGCTGCACTAATAATATGGACTTAAAGTACCATGTCCAAAGCAGAAATCACAAAAAAGTTCAATCCACAAAAAGAGAAAAGCTAATGACTAATGCTACAATATATGATTAGGAATTAATAAGCTCATTTTATAAAATGCTCTTAACATAAAAGGACAAACACCCAAATGGAAAAATAAGCAAACATATAAATATGCAAGTTACAAAAGAAGAATTAGAAATGGCTTACAAACACATGGAAAATGCTTATTTTCATTAGTAACCGCTGTAAGTTAATATAAAACAAGAGACTGCCATTTTTTCCATATCAAATTAGAGGCAAAAAAAATAATGTTCATTATTAGTGAAGATACTTTGAAAAAAACCTTCTTACAGTACTGATACATACAAATTGGTTTAAACTTTTTTTCAGAACAATTTACTCATGTGTAACTGCAGATCAAAGCCTTAAAAACATGTATAGTTGTTGATCTGGTAATTATATTTTTAAGAATTTATCTTGAGGAAACAATCATAGATATGAACAAAGAGTTTGCAACAATGACATTCAGCACAGCATCACTTACCTAATCGAGAATTTGGAAACTACTTAAAGTAATAATTAATAAAAATTTTAAAGTGGTTCAAGGTGCAAGGTAAAGTTCTACTGCTAGTACTTAATATGAACTGGGGTGAAATATACTCAGATCTAGAGCAAAATGCCTCAACTATAATAGAAACAATAGAATTAAAGCACCAATGTTCTGTCAATGAAACTCCTTATAGTTTCCATTTTTATTAATGTGATTGCACCTAAAAACATAAAAGCAAATTTCAAATATTTCTTAACTTTTAAATATTTTTTAACTGACGCTGAAGAAAACAATACATACCAAGTACTGCAAGTATTCATGTTTATTTATTCCAACAGCTTTGGAACTCACAGGGATTTTTGCATATTTAACCAACAAATCCACATAATTCCTCTGTTCTCTCTGTGAGAAACGAGAGAAACGAGGATAAGGAACTCTTGGTTTTGGAAGAAGAACCATTCCAACTGTGGTTTTCACTTTTTCCTTTGCTTGAGTTGCTGAACTAACTGCCGGCTCAGTTTCTACAGAACTTGCTGAGGCATTCAAATTTTCTCCTATACGTCTGGGGAAAAAAAATACAATTTACAGATATGTGCTTTTCACATGAAGATTACTATCATGAAACTTCATGATTCTCAATCACCAGGGAGAATATAGAGTGATTAACAGAGTAAATTCTGGATTATTATCTAACTCTGCCACCTGCATTTTGATGTTTAGCCATTTAGTATAAATTAAGTATTCTGCAGGATAGGATCACATTACAAGTTTACCTTCAATTACCTGATGGAGAGGAAGAGGCAAAATCCTTAGACAAGTTATTCAATTTGGAAGCTTCCTCCCTTTATTCAAGAGGGGTAAATCACTCTTGCTAGCTATATATGCAGGTATTTTGTGTTTACATTTTATTACAATTCAAGTTGTTTTTTAATACCTAAAGTCTTCAATAAGATATATCAGTTAATGCGGTGAACAAAAGCCACTAAGACCAGGATATGTTGGGGTCACAAACTTGAGGTTCACAAATTCGCTGAGATTCTAAATTTTCTGGTTTCCTCTGCTTTAATTATCTCAAGAATTAAAAAGAAAATCCCAACACTCTGTGATATATTTTATGGAAATAACAGTGGTTTTAGAAAAGTTGTATAATCCTCTATCACTCATGCACATGGCTGAGTTTATGGAAATGTCTTTATGTTTTGTATAGATATAAAAGAGAAATCCTGGCACATCTATAATGAAATACACTACAGGAAAAACTGCTGAGTGGCTAGAGAACCTGTTACCCTATCTGTTTATGAAAGGCTACCCCAAATTTTATAAAAACCACCTTACTACCCCAATTAAGGTATATGAATACAAATTTCTTATCCTGTACATAATCTGTCTCTATTGCTGCTATTCAGTGTTATAATCTACATTTTTCATAAGAAAGTCTTAAAGTACACACACACACACACACACACACACACACGAAACTACATTTCCTTAGGCTCTACAACTTCAATTTCCACCACAGTAATGATTTGGTTCCAAACTAAAAAGGGTGAGTTAAGCCCCATCCAAAGCTACCATTACTTTTAGATCAACATTAAAATATTAGAATAAATATGAAAAAAATTCCAAAATTCTTTAAAAAAAGACTTAGAGCCCTCAAATAAGGCAAAATATTCAAGATTACTCTTTTAGAGCTAAACTCTGGATGTAAAACTAACCAAGAGAGCAGGTTAGTAAATGGAAAAAGAATTTTGGAAATTAAAATAAGGATGCTTAGATTGGCTCTGAAAATAATACAGGTGAAAGAAGACATACTTAGCTACTAAAGTTTCTCCAATAACTGCATAAAAATAAGCATATTTTAGGTTAACAAAATGAATATTAACTGCTGATCTTGGGAGAAATGTATTACAGCAAATTGATTTCTCACTAGAAAATGTCTTGAGAGCTATTCAAACCTAACAGTATTGTGTCCGCAATTCTTAACAATACTGCTTCACAGCTGTCTCTCTGAATATGAGAACATGTCTGTCCTTGTGACACAAACTGGCAAATTTAATTAAGCTGCTGCAGCAACAAGATGCTGACTCAGATATGCCAGAGTAGGAATGTCAAGAAATTCTAGCAGTTTAAATTGGCTACATTCAGCAAAGAATGAAACGGCAGCACATCAAGATCATTTCTGTGTGCAGCGCTGTCAAAATCTTCATCAGGGTGCAAGCCAAAAGCATCTGATGGGGTTTTTCTATCCACATTTACAGCATTATATTTTATTTAAGTTGATGGTTTGAAGTTTTCTCCCTTCATTTTGTCAACTCTCCTTTTTTACTTTAAGTCTCTATGAAAAAAAGGCAGAATTCAAAAGTTTTCGTTTCCTATGCTTTAAGTCTCCTGGTTTGGGTAGCTTCTTTAAGTAGCATTTGGAAATGGTACTTCTAGCCTCCATCTAAAGTCTACCTGTACCTCCTGAATTTGATTTACTTCTATACATTAAACATATTAAAATTTCTTCTTTTTCTTCTTTTTTGTGTATTTGAAGCTTCTTTCCCCTTTGTTGGCTTAAAACTCAGTTATAAATATCTCTATCCAGAAACTAATTTTTTTTTTTTACATTTTGGCTGCATTGGGTCTTCGTTGCTGCGCACAGGCTTTCTCTAGTTGCAGCGAGCGGGGGCTGTGCAGGCTTCTCATTGCAGTGTCTTCTCTTTGTTGCAGAGCACGGGCTCTAGGCACATGGGCTTCAGTAGTTGTGGCATGCGGGCTCAGCAGTTGTGGCTCGTGGGCTCTAGAGCACAAGCTCAGTAGTTGTGGCGCACAGGCTTAGTTGCTCTGCAGCATGTGGGATCTTCCCGGACCAGGGTTCGAACCCCTGTTTCCTGCATCGGCAGGCAGATTCCCAACCACTGTGCCACCAGTGAAGTCCCCAGAAACTAATTTTTAAAAAGGCAAATATTTACCTTTTAGTGGAGGGAAAAGGGTTGAATAAAAACCTCCTATTGTTGAAAGTAGCATAATTAGAGGTATCAATATTTTCCCAAATATGTTTTTATAGAACACAAAATACAAAATTAGGGCTAATAAATTTACATTCTTCCAAGTCTTTTTTTGATTTTTTCTTCCTAGTTTTTTCATCAAGAAAACTGTGGTAATTTAATATAGTCTGAAAATCCATTCTTACTATAATAAAACTAAAGGTTAGCAAATAAGACTAGAAACATACGAAATCAATGACTTGTGTCTTTATTTCTTCTATGCTAAAAGGTGTATTATACTAACAAATTATTTTGTGCTATATAGAAATCTAACGAAAAACAAGTGATATTCTAGGAAAAAAAGATTTTAGGTGTTAAGTGTACTCAACTTCCAGTAGGACGTCCTCTCCCTTACAAATTTCAGACTATAACCCACGCTTGGGATATGCTGAATAGAACCGGATTTGAAAAGAACCATAAAATAATTAAGAAGCAGTAGCAAGGGACTTCCCTGGTGGGGCAGTAGTTGAGAATGTGCCTGCCAATGCAGGGGACATGGGTTCGATCCCTGGTCCGGGAAGATTCCACATGCCGCAGAGCAACTAAGCCCGTGTGCCACAACTACTGAGCCTGTGCTCTAGAGCCCGAGAGCCACAACTACTGAAGCCCGCGTACCTAGAGCCCGTGCTCCACAAGAGAAGCCACCACAACGAGAAGCCCACGCACCGCAACGAAGAGTAGCCCTCATCCGCCACAACTAGAGAAAGCTCACGCGCAGCAACGAAGACCCAATGCAGCCAAAAAAAAAAAAGATGCTCATTGTTTGTAACAGTAAAGGAATGGAAACAACCAAAATGAGTATCAGTGGTAGCAATTAATTGATTCCACTAAGAAATAGCACTGTCACCAGAAAACTAGGAGGAAAATTAGAGTGAGATATCTCTATGGTCAAGAGCTCACTGATGATTTTAAGAGGAGCAGTTTTAGTAGCCTAGTGAGGGCAAAAGGCAGATTACAGTGGAATGTTCAGTGAAAGCAAGTGCAATGGGATATGCAATAAATGGAAGGGTTTTTTTTTTCATCCTGTTTTTTTTTTTTTTTTTTTTTTTTTTTGCCGTACACGGGCCTCTCACTGTTGTGGCCTCTCCCGTTGCGGAGCACAGGCTCCGGATGCGCAGGCTCAGCAGCCATGGCTCACAGGCCTAGCCGTTCTGCCGCACGTGGGATCCTCCCGGACCGGGGCACGAACCCGTGTCCCCTGCATTGGCAGGCGGACTCTCAACCACTGCACCACCAGGGAAGCCCTCCATCCTGTTTTTTAAATCCATTCTCCAAATCTGTCTTTTGGCTGGAGAGTTTAATCCATTTAAAGTAATTATTGGGAGGGAGGGACTCAGCGATGTTATTTTGTTAATTGTTTTTGGTATGTCTTATAGATTTTTTGTCCCTCATTTCCTCCCAGCAAGCATATACAAGTATTTAAAGAAGTCTAAGTACAAATGAGAGAAGAGCTAAGAAAGCAACTAGGAGGGAATGTGGAACCCAGGGACTGAGATGGGACAAACTTGAGCATGTTTAAATATTGGTCAAGAGAGAACAAAGAGGGACTTCCCTGGCAGTCCAGTGGTTAGGACTCTGTGCTTCCACTGCAGGGGGCATGGGTTCGATCCCTGGTATGGGAACTAAGATCCCACAAGCTGAGCGGCATGGCTTTAAAAAAAAAAAAAAAAAAAAAGACAGGAGTTAAGAGGGGATGCTAATTGACAGAAAGGGTACTGAAAAGGCAGGAAAAGATGGGGTCCCATTCCATGCAGAGGCTACAAGTATGATTCCTCCATTGTAAAAGGAGTGGAGAAAGGATGAAAGTTAAAAATTAAGCTCCCCTAGGGGAGCTCCCCAATTCCTCATTTGGCATATTTTCACTCCTTTCTAGTAAACTTGATTAGTTTTAAGATTCATCCACAACAGAGTTGAAACAGGTAATCACAAAGGAAAGAAGAGCTGTTACAGGCAAGTAAGCAGTGAGAAGGGAAAATAATCACTTAATAGGCATTTTCATACCAGAAAAAAACTCTATGGCAATTTGGTGGTATCTATTAAAATATAAAATGTTTATAGAATCTGCCCAAACAATTCAATTTCTATGAATTTATCTTACAGAAATAATTACAATAACTTTATAAATGTTACTGTTTAAAATCCCAAAGAAAGAGGAACACAAACATTATGCAATGTAAAACTAGCTAAAAGAATTAAAAGTATCTCTGTATAGTAAAATAATATGCAACCATTAAGAAGACTGAGTTAATGTAGGGGCACAAAATACCCAAACTATTATTTTAAATGAAAAAAGCAAATTGCAAAACAGTTTTATAGTGTTTACAGCATTTTACAGTATTTATGGTGTGATCCCCCACCCCTTCTTTCGGCCACACCACACGGCTTGCGGGATCTTAGTTCCCTGACCAGGGAGTGAACCCGGGCCCTCAGCAGTGAAAGCACGGAGTCCTAACCACAGATCTGCTAGGGAAGTCCCCCCATTTTTGTTTTAATATGTATCTGTTCATGTGTTGAGAGAAAGGTCTTGAAAAGATATATATGCACACCAAAGAGTGGTCGCTTTTTGGTACTGAGTTCTTCTATTTTTTTAATTTCTACATTTCTATAATTTGAATTTATCATGGTGGATATAGATAGATACAAAACTTCAACTATCAGGAAAATAACAATCAAATATGGAAATAAATAACCAAATAAATAAACATATTACCTGCTAGATAAAATACATAGTTCTTTTAAACTTGGAGCCATGGAGTGATCTTTATAATTTTCTCGACAGAAAAATGTCTTAAGGCCATTTTTGGGGGAAACATCCCTGTAAAACAAAGTAATTTACTTGAATTTGACAATTCAAAATTTCATGCTAGATTAACAAGCATAATGGTACAACTGTAATTTAAAACTACATGTCCCCTACATCCCCTTTCCCAGAAAATCACCTCTTAATAATTTTAATTTCATATGTGAGTTTAGATGTTTTACTTCTTGGATAGTTTTTAACCTAGGCCCATTCTGAAATTCTCCAATTCCAACAATCAGCCTTGCTTTTTCCTTTAGTACCCAACTAAATGCCAGAGATACTTGAGAGTTAAAGATAGAACAGACTGAAGTACCATAAAGGGTCTGTCAGGGGCAAGGCTCACCTCAGGCTCTGTGGCATAACATTAAGATGTTTGATTGCTGAAAGAAAATGCTTCTTAACCTATTTTTGTCTCACTCACTATTGTGCTCAGCCAAAAAACACTACAAAGACTGATTATCCAACGTTTTTTGTTAACTTGGCAAATGTGATAAATGGTGTGCCTCTACTAAAACTACTTGCAAGGTCATATATGATTTTCTATATTGTAATTAATTTACAGACTAACATACTATAGTCAATGCTTTCTGTATAGTAAGCATCCAATAAATGCTGGCTGAACGAAAGAATTTAAAAATTAAACACACTGAGAACAATTAATCTAGGGAGAACAAAAATTAGAAGGATTCTGTAGCAAAGGACCATTCCAAGGACTGTAATACTGTGCAAAGGCTCTAAACCACGTTTGGTTTCACAATGTCAATGATATAGAAGAGCATCTGTGCTGCGTTTGAACACATTTTTTATGGCAAGGAGCATAAATGTGCGTACCTCTTAAAACTTACAAGAGAAAAATCTAGTCAAATGGCACCTTGTGGCTGGCCCATTACTAAAATGGGAAATTCTCGCATATTTGCTCCATACTCATTTCTTACTGTTTTAAAGGTGTTTATCTAAAAACAATAATTAAGATATTAATGATAAATCTAAAAAGTCTTATTTGTTATGCACCGGGGCAGTTTCTTAGTACTTGCTATTGTGCTGTATCTGTGACATCTCATTAAATTCTAAAGTTTTTGCATAACATACAAAAACAAAGTCATGGGCCTCAGGAATTGTGAGCTCCTTGGAGGAAACAATGTTTTCAATAAACAAATACTTACTGAACACATACTGATTGTATTTATTTGATAAACTTGACATGCTACACTTTGTAAATTTAAGGTGTACAGCATGTTACTTTGATAACATTTCTATATTGTAATATGATTGCCACTGAATCAATATTTATCACATTACATAATTATAGACAATATCATTGTCTATATGCATTATACTAGAGGACGTAGTGATTGAATCTTCTCTGAGTCAGGTACTATTTTAGTCACCTTTGTAATCTCTTGTAACATTTGTATTCTCCTCTGCTAGCAAACTCCTTCGCTGGTAAAGAGTAGATGCTCACTAAATGTGTGTTAAATTGGTCTAAAGCAGCACACACATTAGATTTCTACATAGCCACCATATTACTTAATAGAGTCCTCTATTTGTAAAGTTCTCATACACTTCTAAAATAGTCTATGCACTTACATTATCACTTGATATAGATTCCAATATAACAAAAAGAAGCTTGCCTATTCTTAAAATAAGGTTCTTGAACGCAGGAAAGTTCCAGCATCTCTCCTTTACTAAGATCAACAATAAATACATGATGGAGTTATACCTAGAAGCAATCTAAGTGCTGAATTGTTATCACTTTAGGAGAGGAAGTGCAGTCAAAGATAACTCAAAAGTGCCAGGCAGGTGTAGATAAGAACGGGGTAGGGCTTCCCTGGTGGCGCAGTGGTTGGGAGTCCGCCTGCCGATGCAGGGGACGCGGGTTCGTGCCCCGGTTCGGGAGGATCCCGCGTGCCGCGGAGCGGCTGGGCCCGTGAGCCATGGCCGCTGGGCCGGCGCGTCCGGAGCCTGTGCTCCGCAACAGGAGAGGCCACAGCGGTGAGTCTCCACGTGCCGCGGAGCGGCTGGGCCCGTGAGCCATGGCCGCTGGGCCGGCGCGTCCGGAGCCTGTGCTCCGCAACAGGAGAGGCCACAGCGGTGAGGGGCCCGCGGACCGAAAAAAAAATAATAATAATAATAAAGAAATTTAAAAAAAATAACGGGGTAGATGAGAATGGGGTAAACCCTAAGCCACTGTACTTACCTTCTTTCTGTTTCCTCCAAGTCTCTCCGGGCCAGACACAATCCTTTCCTAATGCAGCCACCAGACCCACTTCAATCCTCTTTAGGGGATTACAAACAGATGTAACTCACCAATTCAGCCTTGGTTCACCCATGGCCATCATGGAGCTCATATTCCTAGATTTCTGCTTCACTCTAGTTCACAATTCTGCTGCCTGGCAGTGTAGGCTCCTGAGGAGGCAGGAATGTCTCTAGAATTTTCACTCAACTGAGTAAAAACCAAAGGTCAAGAACAAAAGCAGGTGATTGGCTGGACCAGATATTGTTAACTCAGATGAGTCAAGAAGCTGTTCCTAACACCCACCCTCAATCGACACAGACACCTAAAATAGAAAAGGGCAGACAGACGAATATTCCCAGTCTCTGAGGCAGAACAGCGAAGCTAACATAGGATCCGTCCTTCTCCATTTAACTTATTCCAGGAACGTCACGAAAGAAGACCGTAACAGAATGGTGTTCTCATTGCTCACATACAAGATCCCAGCACGGGCTGTATGTCTTGACTCAGTGCCCTGCCCCGACTCCCTTATTGTCAAAATAAATCTTGCTTCCATTTTCCCAACCATACATTATTATGGGGCAGATTCTGGCAAGCAACGAAGGACAAAAGCTATCTGGATATCAAGAATCTTTCAAAGAGAACCTCACTCTTGGAGGAGACTGAGGGCCAGATAACTTAAGTGACATTTCACGGGATCACTTAGAGGGCTCACCAGCACTAGAAATCTGGCTTGCATCTGTCCTGAACGTCAACACTGCATGTTCAGTGCTTCTCCTGCCACCCCGTGCGGATAAAAAGTTTGTGAGCAACGGACAGTCAAACGTAGGAGTCGACCTCTCAGTAGCGGGCGGGCCTCACCTGCTCCCACTCAATCCACCTCCCACGCTTCTGCCCGGTAAGGGGCTGGGGCGGGAGAGCCGATGAAGGCACAAGGAAGGCTGAGGGAAAGGGAACCAAAGGAAAAACAAGGCTCTAGAAATGCAGTAAATCGGTGAGCAAAGCCGGGGGAGGGGACCGCGCCAGCACCAGGTGCGAAGGGTCCTGGCCCGGCCTAGGGGCCGCCATGTTCCCTCCTCCCGCCCCTCACAAGCGTGCCCTCCCCGCCGAGTCTCTGCAACAAAGCAGCCTTGCCGCCCACCTCGTGGTCCGCGGCGCCTCCGCCCCGAACCGCGGCCTGGACCCTAGCGAAACACTCACACTCCCGTGCAACCCACTCCGCTCTGTCCCGCGCCTCGGGAAGGCCTTATTTAAAGGACGTGGCCGCGCCGCCTCGGCCTTGCGTGGTGACGTCATCAGCGACGCAGCGGGCGGGGCCCGTGCGACTCGAGAGAGCCGTCCCCCGCCTCCCTCTCCTTCCCCCCGCCCCCGTCCCGCCTCCTCCCCGACCCCGGACTCCTGGTAGTTTCCGCTGGAAACTGTGAAACAGGGGTTGCTGGCGTTCACCTTGAGGGCTGGGGGGCTATGTATTGTCCTAGAGAGTCCTCGACCTTGAGGAGATCATAAACTGGAAGGAGGACAGGTGACAAGTACAGTACTGGAAAGACCCAGACTTGGTTGTGACCTTAAGTGTCTTAACTGACTCATCAATAAAATGGAGATATCATAAGCACCTACTTAGTAGGGTTTTTTGAAAGGATTAAATGAAATAAGGGATGAAGCTGTGCTCAGCAGTTACCTGGCACGCAGTAGCATCTCCACTCCATTCTCCTCCCATTTTAGATGTCATTTTCTACCAGCGGTCACTCTGGCTCTTACACTAAGTGTAAGAGTTTCACTTACTCAGGAAAGATTTATTGAGCACTTATCATTTGTGCTTGGTGCTGCGCACACATAGGACTCGGAGCCAATACTGGTTTTTCCAAGAGCTTTCGATCATTGGGAATCTAAGATATACACATTAAGTAATTACAAAATAAAATACAAAGTGATGAGCTACATAAGAAAGGTATTATAGAAAAGATTGTGTGAGTTCAGGGAGGGAGAGAAATCACTAGTGAGAGAAACAGAAAGCAGCTTTGACTAGCTAAAGACATCTACTGAGCACTTATATGTCAGTTACCACTTTGGGCACTTGACATGTCAGTCCATTTGAAGAATTTGAGGTATGTGGATGATTGAAAAGGATGGTTCTAGATAGAGACCAGCACAGGGAGCTGCATAAACCTACTGCATGAACAGAGTCCAGTTTGTATGCTAGCAGGAAAGCACGTTCTAAAGTTTAGAATGATTTGTGATATTGTTTAAAATTGTTTACATAAAAATCACTCGTATGTGAAAAAATCTCCCTTGAATACAGGGACCCTTAGGTAATTTACTTTGCCTGCATTACAAGGTCTCTGAAGAGCAGTAGAGGAAAGGGTTTGGAAAATTAGGTTGGGAATAGAACACAGAAGACCTTATAAGCCAGAGTGAGGATTTTGATTTTATTGCATAAGAAATGGGATGCTGAGGGGAGAGGGGAGCCTATAAGGAGAGGAATGACACAATCAGAGCTTCTGTGTTTTAGGAATGTTTATCTGGCAATGTATTGAATGACTTGTAGGGAAGAGGCCAGTTAGGAGACAGTGCTTGTGGATGCTTGCAAATCAACTGGTGCAGTGCCCAGCACTGTGGGGAAGCATTTCTTATTAGGTGAACGATGCTGACTCATGTGCTAGGACAGAGACGGACATCAAGGCAGTGTAGAAGTTTAAGAATTGGGTACTATCTCGCAAACCATGCAGTCGGAGTTGGGAGTCATGTCCTAGTCTTCAGCAACTGCTCAAGAACTGCTCAAGTGAAAGACAAATACCACATGATATCTCTTACATGTAATCTAAAATATGACTCGAACCTATCTACAAAACAGAAACAGACTCACAGACATAGAGAACAGACTTGTGGTTGCCAAGGGGCAGGGGGCATGCAGGAAGGATGGAGTGGGAGGTTGGGATTACCAGATGTAAACTATTATATAGAGAATGGATAAACAACAAGGTCCTACGGTATAGCACAGGGAACTATATGCAATGTCCTGTGATAAACCATGATGGAAAAGAATATTAAAAAAAGAACGTGTGTGTGTGTGTGTATATATATATACATATATATATATATGTATATATATATATATATAAAACTGAATCACTTTGCTGTACAGAAGAAATTTACACAACATTGTAAATCAGCTATGCATCAATAAAATAAAAATTAAATATTTCCTTTAAAAAAAAACTGCTCAAGAATTGTTGAAGCACTCATGCTGCTGGGGTACACCAGCCCATAGTAGTGTGGCATGGTAACGTCACCAGACGTGGCCTGTGTTGAGATTACAGATTATCATCAGTTTGCTCTGGTTCAGTGTATCTGAGTGCCAGTGGTTACAAGAAGGAACTTTTGAGATTATGTAGTCCAACTCTCTTGTTTTCCTGATAAGGAGACTGAGGCCCACATTGTCAAGTGACTTTTCCAACATTTACGTGATCAATGGTAAAGCTGATACTACAAATCAGGTCTCATAACTTTTGCCATCAAAATGTTAAGTCTATGCACCCTTCCCTCTTTACACGCTGCTTTGTAAACCAGAAGCAGTTTAATGAAAAGAACATGGATTTTTGGAGTCCAGCAGATATAGGTTTGTATCACAGTTTTCCTGCTTACTGGCAGTGTGATCCCAGACATGTTGTGTTGCCTCTTTGGGCCTCAGTTTCCTCATCTGGGTAATGGGTGAGGTAATATCTCACCTACAGGATTGTTGTGAGGATTAGAAGTAACATGTAAAACTTTCACTACAAAGAGTAAATGCTCAACAAGTAGTAGCTATTAGTATACTTTCATGCCAAAAACAAACAAGCAAATACATCTGACCACTCACAGTGGTGGTGGCATTGTTTAACAAATGATTATAATACAGTATAAATAGGAAATGATATACACTGCCAACTAAGGAATGTCGCTCTCCATCTGGCTCTACAAGGATTAGGTAATTAGCCGCTGTAGCCGCTGACCTTTAACACACCCTGAAAGGAGTTCAGGGCAGAGATCAGGAATGAGACACTCTGTGCTCTGGGAAAACTGGCAGAGCAAGGCTTTAGATAGTTAGGTATTTTCAGGAGAAATTTTTTATGAACCTGGATTCTTGCATCTTCCCATACTTAGAAAATCCCTAAAACCATTAACTGAGCTGTCTGTTCCTTGTGACTGGCAGCAACCTTCTACCGAGACATGTGCTTGATTGCACATACCCCACTTCGACAAAATCACATATATACTGACCTCTCCCCTTACCTCTTTGGAGCAGTTTCTCAGAGCTATCTGAGAGGCTGTCTCCAGGGCTATACTCCTCAGTAAGTCCCTAAATAAAACTGAAACTCACAGCTCTCAGGTTGTTTCTATTTCAATCACACACACACACACACACACACACACACACACACACACACACACACAATTATAGATTCTATGGGAACACAATGAGGAAGGAACTCATTCTGACAGACAATTTATAGACTACTTCAGAGAAGAAATTTAATTTACATTGGGTCTTGAAGGATGAGTAGGAGTTCACTGGGTTGAGAAGGGACTGTGGTTTTGGGGGTGTGAAGAGCCCAGAAGTGTGAAACAGTGCTGCTTGTTGCAGGGAGGGGAACAGCTACTGTATTGCCTTGTGAGGGAAGTGGAGGCCATTGGACTGGACAGGGGAGGAGGGGCCTGAGAGGGTCTTCATGCCATGCTAGAGAATTTGGAACTTTGGACTTTATTCTCTGGGTGATAGGGAAACCACTGTGTGTGTGTGCCTGTAAAACATCTTTATTGAGGTGTAATCTATGTGCCATAAAATTCACCCACTTAGTTATCATTCACTAATTTTTAGTACATGTACGGTTGTGCAACCATCAACACTACCAAGTTTTAGAACATTTCCATTGCCTTGAAAAATCCTGTGTGCTCCTTTGTAGTTAATCTCTCTTCCCATCCCCAGCCCCAGGGCAAACACTAAACTGCTTGTGGTTCTACAGACTTGCCTTTTCTGGACATTTCATGTAAATGAAATCATACAATATATAGTCTTTCGCATCTGGATTCTTTCTCCTAGTAGATTATCCATTTTTGAGGGTCATCCACATAGTAGCAAGAATTAGTAGTTGTTTTGTTGCTGAATAGTAGAATGACATTTATATATATGCCCCAATTTTTTTTATCCCTTCAACACTTGATGGATGTTAGAT